TTTTCTGTGTTCTCTTGGAATTCATTGATCATTTTTATAATGATTTTTCTGAATTCTTTGTGTGAATTTCATCTACTTCAATATCTTTGGGGTCAGCTGCTGGTGAATTTTTAGGAGGAGTCGTATTACCTTGTTTTTTCATATTTCTTACATTCCTGTGTTAGGTTTTGTTCATCTGTTGGGAGGGATTCTTTCCACTTTTTTATTGGTGCATTATAATTATACATAATGATGGGATTTGTTATTAACAATATAATGACATCATTTGGTCAATATCATTCCCTATCATTTACTTTTTACTGCTAAGCTGTATTCCCTTTTAATGGGATATACCAAATTTAGAGAAGACTGATGCCAAACTATTTTCCAAAGTGACTATACCATTTTTCCTACCAGCAGTGTATGTGAGTTCCAGGAGCTCAATATCCTTGCCAACATTGGGTATGGTCAGTCTTTTTAAATCGAGCTATTCTAATGGTCTATAGTGGTGTCTTATGGTTTTGTTGGCAGCAGTGGTGGTTTTTTTGTTTTGGTGTTTTTGGTTGGGCGGGGGGCGGTGATTATTATTGTGGTTTGCTTTTTGCAGAACCTAGGAATTAAACCCACTGAGCTACATCCCCAGACTTTTTCATTTTATTTTGAGACAGGGTTTAAGTTACCCAGACTGGTCTTGAATTTGTAATGCCTCAGGCTCCTGAGTAACTGGGGATTATAAGTGTGTGCCACCACATATAGCAGTATCATATGCTTTTAATTTGTATTTCTTTAATGACTATGCTGAATGTCTTCAAATGTTTATTTGCCAACATATATCTTCTTTAGTGAAGAAGTTGTTGAAATATTTTAATGCTTTTGGTAACTGAGTTATTGTTGAGTTAGAAGATTTCTTTATATTCTAGATAAATGTCATTAAATAAAGGACATTTTCTCTTCAATCTGTGGCCTGTCTTAATTTTTGTGTCTATTGAAGAGCAAAAATTTATGATTTTGATGAAGTCACGTTAATTGATGTCTTTTCCTTTTTGTTTCTACATAGCAAATCCTATGGTCTGAGAATTAAAACCTCTTTACTTTCTTTTTCCCAAGCAATATGTTTGTTTTTTTCTATTGCCCTTTTGTACTGGCTAGGATCTCCAGTGCAATGCTGAATAAAACAGATGAGAAAGGACATTCTTACTTCAATTTCAGAGGAATGAGCTCTTTAACCTTTAAGAGAGATGTTTGTTCTAAATATCTCTTACGTGTTCTCCATCAGGTTGAGGAACTTACTTTCTTTTTCTTTTTTTTTTTTTAAGAGAGAGAATTTTTAATATTTATTTTTTAGTTTTCAGCAAACACAATATCCTTGTTTGTATGTGGTGCTGAGGATCGAACCCGGGCCACATGCATGCCAGGTGAGCACGCTACCGCTTGAGCCACATCCCCAGCCCCAGAGGAACTTACTTTCTATTCCTACTTGATGTGAGTTTGTATCATGAATGGCTATAGAATTTCATCAAATGCATTTTCTGAATTACTGAATATTTGACTGAGTATGGTATCAAATTTAGTCTGTTAAGATGATGAATTATAATGATTGCTTTTCAAATATTAAGACAACCTTGCATTCCTGGATAAGCCCCAGTTGCACACGTTGTATTATGCTTGCTAGATTCTATTTGCTAATATCTTGTTGAGTATTTTTGCAATAGTGTTTATGGGAAGAAACACTGGTCTACAGCTTTCCTTTCTTATAATGTCTTTTCCTGGTTTTGGTATTACATCAATGCTCATGTCATCAAATGAGTTGGGAAATGCTTCCTTCTCTCACATTTTTCTAAGTGTGTGTGTAAAAGCAAGATTAGTTCTTCTTTGAATGTTTAGTAGAATTCACAAGTAAGTCAAATAATCTAGGCTTCTATATTTTCTTAATAACACATCTAAAAACAAAAAGCAAACTTACTACGGCCAGGTAAAACTAATAATTTTTACACCACAACATGTTTTTTCTCACTGTATTCCATTTCAATTAATCACATCATTTCACCCATTTTAAACTTAAACTTGAAACTTAGCAGTTGTCTCTGATTTCACTCTTTCATTTACCCTCTGCCTCAAATCCATCCTCAATTCCTAATGGCTCTACTTTCAAAATATATCCCTCCTTCTCTCCATCTTAACTGTCGGGTTTCCCAGTTCAGGCTTCCTAATTGGCCATCCCAATATATGATTGTCCCCACTACAGTCTACTCTTTTGGCTTAAAGCCCTCATCTGGACTTTAATTTCTTCCACCTTTAGATATTAACTGCAAAACAGAAAAACAACAAGCTGAATGTACTGACTATGGAAATGCTACCTACTTTTACAAACTCTTTACTGCATAACTAGATCCAAGACCTGGGAAGTCATAAAATTATACATCTAGAAAAAAATATAACTTTGTTGTATTGAATCGTAAAGGAGGTACAAATTCTTATCCAGGAAGCAACAGCACCAAGAATAGCCAAGTACCAAACTTGTTCTTCCAGATCTAAACAACAACAATCACCTTACACCCAACCTGGTCCCAAACTTTGGTCAGCTACCTATCCCATCTCCTTAGGCTTCCTGCTCAAACTGAGAGCACTCCTGACAATATCAGAAAAGGCTACACTTGCTGATCTTATCAACAAGGTAGGTAAGGAACAGGGAAATAATGCAACAGACTTATTTACTCATGTTGATTTATTTCAGACATCTCCTGCGCCGGGCCAAGAGCAGGAAAGATGCCCAGCAACTTGGCCTTACTGTTTTAGCTACATCATCCACTTCTGAAAAACTCAACTTATAGTCTACCATACGCTCTCCCTTCCTGCTGTCTCACCAATTGACACTTCATTTCATACTCTGGCCTGCTCCAGACAAACTGCTATGGCCTGAGTGTCTGTCCCCTCCAAAATGCATATTGAAACATAATTACGAAGTTATCTGTTAATGGTATTTGCAGGTGATATCCTCAGGAGGCAATCAGATAAAGTAATGAAGATGGGACCACCTGACTGCATTAGTAGCTTTACCAAAAGATTAACCCAAGTAAGTAAATTTGTTCAGTCTCACCATGAGCCACTTGGGACTCTACAGAGTCCCCACCAGCAAAAAGTCTTTCACCAGAAACAGTCCCTCAACCACAGATTTCCCAGCCTCCAGAACTGTAAAAAAATAAATGTCTTTTCTTTATAAAATTACCTAACTGTGGTATTCAGTTACAGCAAAGGAAAACAGACTAAGACACCCACCCAACCTACTAAGTACTCCCTTCCTAGTCTACCACTGTCATTCCTTATGTCAAATGAAGCCACTATTTCTCTTGTTATTTCTTAGGCACTTCTTCATTATCATGTTACTTCTTTATTCACTAAATTACCTCTAGGACTGCATCCTTTGGTTTAACCAGGCCCTAATATGCTCCTCTTTAGTGGACCTAGACAACATTAGCAAGGTTGATGCTTTTCAGAAAACAAGTAGTGACCAAATCAACCTATGTTTCCCAGGACCTGGAGCCAACCTTTAGTTGCACTTTCAAGGAATCAAGGAAGGGGACTATTCCCATACTAAGCAACAACTGGGAGTGGGAGGTGGACCTCAACTAGATTAGGAAAATTCACTCCCATATAAAACCCTGCTTGTAACTTCACACTAATTAAAATTATAATTAAATTCATATGTGTGACTAGTATATCTCTCCCTACCTGCGCTCTCCACTAAACTGTAAACTCTAGGAGAGCAAGAACTATATCTAACCTGATCATTAGTAAAATTCCTACACCCTAGAAATACCTGGCACACAGCTATAATCAATTAGCTCCACTGGGTTAAAAAAAAGCAGTTAATTTATGACTCAATAAAGCTCTATTATAAGGTGGTACTCTTGTGGTACATATTACATCTTTTCTGGAAAAGCTTATAATAAGATCTAATATTTCTTGAGTTCCTGCCATTCTAAGATTTTTTTTAAGGACTCCTTTGTTTTTTATATGTAGCCTCAATTAATCCTCATGAGAAATTTATGGAGTAGGTACTATAATTATTCCCATTTTAAAATGCAGCATTTAAGACAGAGAGGTTGCATAATTCATCAGCGGTTATATAGAGAAATGACAGAGATGAGATGCAGACCTAGGTAGCCTTACCTAAAAGCCCACACTTCTCATCACTACAGTATATCTCCCCTTCCTGAAAAGAATCCAAATTCCTAAATACCAATGAATTAAGCCAAAATTAAACAAATGGCATGAAGATAAATTCAGACTTATATATACATATAAGTCACCAGTTCCACATGACAATTTGAAAAAAAAAAAAAACTGATTCTTTCCAATGTCTGGCTCTTACAGTTATTTAAACCAACAGTCAAAACTAAAATCACTCTTACTTTTGAAATGACATACACTAATGGGAGACTGAAACCCAAAACATTCTCATATTAAAAATGTTTTCTTCTGTCACTAAATTCCTATTATATAAAAATGCATAAAGACAATCTTTATCTGCCAGGGATGCCAAATCACCAAACTGGGCCTAACAGATATGACATGTATTGCCCAGATTTTCCAGTACAGGAAGCATGTAATTGGTATATTCCAATTACAATATACCATCTCCATGGTTTTGTCTTTCCAGATCTTGCAACATAGGTGTAGGGAAATAACATGTTTTAAGTTTGACTGGATCCTGCAAGCTTTTCTTCTAACCAAAAAAAAAAAAAATACCAGAAACCAATGCAAGGCTTTGTGACAGGGAAGACTGACTGGAAACCAATGTGACAGGGAAGACTGACTGGAGAGTGAGCAACAAGAAAATTCAAACTATTAGATTTCTGCCCAGCAGCTGCCTATTAAGTCCTGAACACTCTATAGCATCTTTCAGAGGCTTGGAGACTGAGAGGTCTGTGACTCCCCTGGTTTTTGATGCTGCACTGGTGTTCCATGCAATGCAAAAGGCCCTAAGAAAAATATCTCTAAAAAAAGAAAATTTAACTCACCTTCCACTGCTCCTCCGGAAGCAGTTTCACAACCACCAGATCCCCATTCAAAGCTCTATTACGAGCAACAACTCCATCGATAAAAATGTCTCGATCACCATCCTAGGTTGAAGACAGAAATAAAGGCACAGTCATCTCACCAGGGCTTGGAGCTAAAAGGATTTTGAAGAATGTTAGACTCCAAAATCTTTCCACTAACTTAATAGAAACACTAGTTCATAGCCATACACATATATAAGGGGAATTTAGTATCTTTCATTCTTCAAGAAACTCATACTAGCTGTGTCTTTTCGGAGGATAAGAAGTCAAATGCTGATTTTTCTTATAGAAGGTGACAATAAATGGGTCTAGAAAGTCACCACTCAAATTTTTCTATGAGACACTGGATACAGATAAGAATCAACACTTAAAGGGCAGAAGGTGACTACTATAAACTTTGTAGTTAGCTAAAAGTGACATTTCAAAATCACCATGCAAAAGGAGGGGGAGGTTTAGTTGCTCAGCATTTTTATAGTTTCCAATTATAAACCATCAGATATCTCTTAAAATAGATTTTCTGTTCAATTTCCAATCTAGCTAGAGGTTGGCAGCTGTGGCTTCCGATCTACCAAACCTGACCCCACCCTACTCCTTGAGCAACAGCTACCATGTTAAGAGACAAGGAATTATTGCAGCTGACCTCATGATGAGCTTCGCTGGAAATAAAGAGACACTAGGAAATAGAGAGTGAACAACTCAAGTGTCGCCCATCACCATCCTGCTGCCTTCTGCAATTTACAGAGTGACATGATCCTGTCGTCCTCCCTGGAATGAAGAAAGCTATTTGGAGGTCACCCTAACCTATTCTCATGTGTCAAAACATATGCATGAAATGCCCCTTTCATAAGCAGCTTATAACCACCCCTTGGCAGCTCAGAGATATAAATGCTAGGATGATGGTAGTGTCATCTTCCTATCCCAAGAAACCAAGGAAAGAAGGGCTGGGTTAAACCCCAGATAACACACAAACCTCCAACTATTCCACACTACTTGGCTCTGCCTTAATTCATTCAGAAGCTTGTATCTATTGCCAAATCTCTTATAATAAAGATACTAAACTTGGGAGCTATTCAATATTAATGTTTGAATAATCTCTCTTAACTAACTTTTAAGGCCAAAAAGTTCAGCTCTGTATTTTGATGCCAGAAGACTTGTCCTATCCATCAGAAAAAAAAAATTTTTTTTAAATGGATGCTAAGCATCCACAGAGGAAATATAATGGGATCTGGGGTAATCTAAACACTCAGGAGAGAGTATGAAGAAGGACAATCTAAGTATGCCATGATAGCCAAAGCATCCTCCATTGATGCAAGAGCTAGCTCCCTGTGGACCAGAAATAAACTCCACAGCTGCATAAAGGGTGCCTCCCATAACAAGACCCATAAAAAATTTCTGAGTTTCTTGGACCAATATAATTCAGAATAGAAACTGTGGTTAAAAAAAATATTTTTTTTAAAGGCAGGCTTTTCCATCTGATTCATTTTCCCCCCTTATCCTCTCCCCAAACAGAACAAAAGACATCTCAATAATACACTTTTATCTTGATTTGCCTGAAAAATCACATGACTTTATTCATACTCTATATTTTACTTTTATTGAGAACCCCCAAAAGACTAGCAGGGACACATAAGTGACTCATCCCATGTGTTTTGGATTTGTCAAAAGAAAATGAAAACTGATTTTCTATCAGTGGAAATTACAATGAACTAAGTCAAGTTCCCTCAGAACAAAATAGTATTTGATAATCAATTCACTGTTCTTAAACTACTAAGTAGATACTTTGGCACAGCAAAACTATTTACTTGACATTGTATAAATTCATAACCATTTGGAGTAAGAATTAACCTAAATAATTTAATCAAATCTCTACTTTTTTTTTCTTTCCAAAACTCTTGATATTTTAAAGTTGTAATGAATACATAATATTTAATCCACCTCTTCATTTTACAAATAAGGAGTATGCTCCCCCAGAGTAATCAAGCCCAAGCCCACTGGCGACAGCCCCTGTACTTAGTGGTGGCTAAAGGGCAGGTATTTCTAAGGGGTACAGGTAGAGCTTAGGCACATGGGTTAAGATACCCACATACATGCATGCAAGAACCTTCAAGGACTGCAAAGGAATCATGAGAAGACAGGGAGTCAGGCTTGAAAAAGGAAGAGGGGCAGGCCAGAGGTGGACCTCCTGTGCATTTCAGCAAAGAGCTCCAAGAAATCCGAAAATCTTAAATTGAACAAAACACAGGTCCACTGAGGTAAAATTGGCAAGGAATACACTAAGTCATGGAATATATTTTACTTAAGTGTTTGTTAGTTTGATTTGTAACTTTCCAATATTTGATATAAGTTATACATGCCTCCTCTTATACTTTTGTCTTAAGCCTCACACCTGATAAGTAGAAACCTTACAGATCTAACTTAGGGAAACTCAAGACTTTGTACTCAGGGAGGAGAGAAAACTAGCAGTAAACTTTTCAAAATGCTATAGCTCCCCTTATCACTCCAACCCATGAGTGCAAACCTCAGCGTGCACAGATGAGATTTGAAATCTGCTCAGTTCACAGGTGCCTCTCAGATTGAACTCCTTACTGCACTGAATGTGATTCTCATGTTAAAAAAATCCATGTTTTCACTCATATGGGCTCCTAATGCAATCAAGTTCCTCCAATCAGTATGCCAATGAAAAAAATCATTCGAATGCATAGAGAACACAAGTTACGCAGAACTTATTGAGAGAGAGCTTATCCATCTTCAGCATTATTTCTTAGGCAGCTCCCTAAGAAATAATTGTGGGTAATTTTTATGATTCCATTATGTGATCTTTATCTTATGAGCAACATCTGGAATGTAATACCCATGTAAGCTGCACTTCCACTGTATAATGGAACTGCTCCTGCTAACCCTCAATTCTATGACTCAAGTGCCATGGTCAGTATATATACTATGTTCTGTCACAGAAGAGAACAGAATACAATTCAGAATAATGTGACAATTCAGTGACGCTTTTTACTGAGTCAAATGGGTAAGACTTGAACTTGAATGCAAATGCAAATCCTTGGCTTCCAAAGGGCCAGGGAAAAGGGTCTAAACAGAATTTGAGATCAGGTCTTAAGATTATTATAACAAAAAGAATAACAGTATCACTTCTGAAAGATATGACTGGACTTATAATCTCACTAAATTTGTTATTTAACATAATGATTTGTTATTTAACATAATAAAATACATAACTGAAATATATGTATTTCATTTCCTTGTCTATAGCTGAAGTTGATCCCTCTGATTTCTTTGTGAAAAATCTAGAGCTATCCTGCTTATATGGCACCCTGGAAAAGTTAGGCCAGGAATTCAAGAACACTGCCCTCCCAGCTTTGCACGATCAAGCCTTCTCCAGAAACCTACAGCTAATGATATGTCAGTATGAACTTGCTTTAACTAAACAGAACCTCTAAAAATGAATCATGAATATAAGAAAGGATTTAAAGCACCAACAGTAAAGAGCCTTGTTACCAAGTGCTATCACCTGCATAGAAGTAAAGTGAGAAACCCTAACCAAAAAAAAGTGTTACACATTATTTTTGGACAAATGTTCCGATTAGATCATGCAGTAGATCGAAAGTAGAGAGCATATTTGTTTAGGAAAGATTAACTTAAATCAGTGGAAAAAAACCATAAATCCTTTTAAGCTGTAAACCAAGGGCATCCAATTACACGAACTGGTGGGTAGTCTGCCTGGGGCCAGCTGCTCTCTGCAGCCTCCTAACAAACGCCATCCCTCTCATTTGGCCTGTGATTTCAAGACTGGCAGAAGGGATGGTGAACCAAAGGCAAATTTTGCTTATTTACATTTGAAACAAATCTTTCCCCATCCTCAATTTCATTTTACTACTCTGCTTTTTAGTTAGAATATATAATTTCAGTTTGAGAGCACATCTAAAAAATTAAGTGTGACACCAAGCTTATTATAAAGTTATTGAACTTACCGGGGAAGGAATGAAGGCTTCATGAAACTTCTTTGGATTGATTCTCAGTACACCCTTTAAAAATGAAAATAAAATCTGTGAAAATCTAACTACATGTATATTTTTATTTTTCTATATGTTATTCTCCAATAAAAAGTTGAACAATTTGTTCTAGAAAAAAAGTTAGATATATGAGACCCATTCATTAAATACATAAAACATGATTTATGTTGACATGCACAACACCAGAACCCATGGAAAACTGAAAACTCAAAGACTGACACTTGCTGAGAACAGGCAAAGGTGAGGAAATCAGCAGAGCGCAGCAAAGAGTGGGAAGGTGGCAATTGTTGGGATTTAGATGCCACCATATGTGCTAGCCTTCGAACTTACACCTTGACCTTAAGAATGAGGTTATCAAAAAAAAAAAAAAAGAATGAGGTTATCTGGGTTCATACCTCATTACATAATAGTTTTTTTATTCTCCCCACTCTAGGAACTCTATACAATTGCTTGTTTCTGAAACAATTTTCAAAGTGATACAAGTTGATTTCATCCTGGATACTTAGCCTCAAAGAACTGGATGCATATGGTTTTCTGAGGCCCCTCTGTAGAGCTGAATGAGTCAATAATTCAAAATGGTCCATAACCAGCTCTTAATGCAAAAGGGAATGCTGGCTCCAAGAAACCAGGCCACCCAGTCAGTCTTCTACTTCATGTTATTCCAGCACCAAATCAGGATCTGCTTATATTTATGCACAGGGGTGCAGGTGGGGCCAATCCTTAATAGCAGTTCAGTGTTTTAGGCCTTTGCAGGAAGCTGTAAGGCTCCCCAGGTTCCAGCTGCATTTGCAGGCCACTGGAGCACACGGATGGAAGCAGTTATTTTCCTAACAGCCAGATTCAATGGATAACTTGAGAAAGTGTTTCAAACAAAATTTCCCACTAAAGTGAATGACTCAAAGAAACATAATTAACAAAATAAGTGAGGACATAAAATTAAGCAGAAAATAATTACGTTCTTTCACTGCTATACCACGTTTAAATTACAAATGTCCATGCCACAATATGCAATGTCATATCAAATAGACTACTACAAATGATCCTTCGGCCCCTAATTATTTATCAAGGACTGGGGTCAAGACCCTGAGTCAGATAATAACAGGGATGAGGGTGATAACTAATCTTGATCCTTGTTGTAAAGAAAAATGTACAAAATGTCAAAGTGAGAATTCAGTTTACTTTCAGCTGGAGGACAAGAAAAGCCTCCAGGAATGGGATCTAATCTGATCCCTGAAGGATGAGCAAAATCTGCAAGTAAATCAGAAGAGAAGGATAGTAGAAGGCACTGTGTTAGTAAAAGTGGGTTAGAGAGCTAACATTTACTCTTCCCCATCATGCTACAAATTCACTTCCGGTGAGAGAGAAGGGCAGGGAAATATGACTGGCAAAGCTCCCCGAGGCCTCCCTTAACGATGCTAAAGCAATTCACTTCTAGGACAGCTGTTTCCTCCTGGGGAAGAGGAAAAATAAAACTTACATTTATCCTAAATATTCATCTACTCAATAATTCCTGATAACTAGTATGATAGGTGTCCGGTTGAGTGATACAAATACAGTGAAGAGTCACAGACAGTCTCCACCCTCACAGAGCTCACAGGCTCAGCAAGGAAGGAGCCACCAAACAAATCAAAGTCAATTCACTGAAATTACATTTTCTGACTCCAGGCACTTTTTTCTAGCCTGAGCATGTTGTTGTTGTTGTGGTTGTTGTTGTTTTTAATTCCTATTCTTTTATCACGCCTTCCAGTTCAGTGAATGGTTTGCACATGAAGAAATAAAGAAGTGAGAACACCCCCTGCTTTAAATGTGCCTTTAATTACAGAGCACTCAGAGAGGCCAAGGCTGGGCTCAGAGGGAAGAGACATGTTGCTCAAGGCTGCATCTCAGCTCTATTAAAAGGAAAAGACATTAAAGAGACCTTAAAGATTTTACTCAAAATTCTCTGTCCCAGACTTTCATATGTATAAACATACAGGGAAGGATAGAAGTTGTGTTCCAAAAAAATTTCCCACTAAAGTAAAATTTGTAAATTTGATTGGAGCACAACTCTTAAGAACTGTACCTCAGAAACAGAACCTCTGAGAGTTCCGATAATAATAATAAAGAGAAAGCTCCAACAGGGTCCCACAGCAGACCAGGGTGGTTCCTACAGCCTGCAGAGAAGCTAGCAGCACAGTTTGTCAAGAATGATCTGTCAGAATGAAAGGAAGAGAAAGTGGATGGGAATAGGAAAGACAGTAGAATGAACTGGACATAACTTTCCTATGTTCATATATGTATACGCCACCAGTGAAACTCCACATCATGTACAGCCACAAGAATGGGACCCTAATTAGAGTAATTTATACTCCATGTATGTATACTATGTCAAAATACACTCTACTGTCATGTATTTCTAAAAGTAACACCCCCAGAGAAAAGATTTGTCAGCTGCAAAACATATCCAGCACATGCTGTTTAAGAGAGAAGTGTGATACTCTCATTCTCCTGTTTTCCCAACTATCCCTAACCCCATCCAGTCCCCCATCTCTCATCTGCCTCCTAAACTCTCCTCTAGCCCTGGAATTTGACCAATAAGGATCCTGCATCTTTCATCTCTGCTCTGAATGCTCCTGCAGTTCCTGACTGGAAACCTAGTTGTCCCTTGATGTCATTACTTCCCTTGAGTGCTCTCAGGAATCAGGGGAAGACTGTCTTTTCTTTGCTTCCCCGTATGTCTTAAAAATTATTTTTTCCTTCAATTCACTTTGAAAAAACCCCAGGTCCTTTGAAGTTCATATCATTAGCTCCTGCTACATTTCTTTGGTGCTACCATCTTCAAGCTTTCCAGCCACAGCTCCAGTTCACTAGTGTGTTGACTGGTAGCTCACTGCCTTTCCTTTCATCCCCACATTTTGGGGACTTTACATCCATAACAATGACTAGGCAACCTAGTCAGTCACTCTAGGTACCTTCTCCATCCATCCCAGCCACACCCCGGCTACTTTCTCCCACATCCACCACCTATATTCTGTCATCACCACTAATTACACTACTTTCAAACACAAGCCAAACATCACATTTTCTGATCACACTCTTCTGTCCTTCCAGCTCAATTACTGTAGAAACCCCACTTCACAATCCTTCAGTTTCACCAAGACCTCCAAGCCATAGTCTGACCACCTTTCCATTAACTATCTTCCCTTTCTTGGCTACCTAATTGACATGGCCTGCCATTATTCTTTACCCTCACAAACCCTAAGCTTTGGGTCCCCTCTTCCTCTTACACTCAACCAGTAAAGCCCTCCCCCAACTGACTCCAACTGTCTTCCTTATCCCTGCCTACCCAAGGAACTGAATGGCATTATAGAAAAATACCACACAACTGGGTTCATTTGTCTAACTTGGCACTCACAAACATGCTTTATCTGACTTATACAATGTTTGAGAACATCTTGAGGAATGTCACACATAAAAAATATGTAGTTCAGATTATCTTGAAAAACTGTAAGATCCAGCAGCAGCTGTGGACAGCTACCTCCACATGATAGCAACCACCTGAGCTGAGTAACAGATGCTCTTCTGACAATAATAAAAGCAATCTCAAGTACCATCACTTCCATAGGTGTCCTCCAGGCCACATAATGTTTTGACAGCTTTATTTCTGTGAACTATTTAACCCTTACAACAACCAAGAGGTATAGACTATTATATTCTTTTTTGTGAATGAGAAAACTGAGGCACTGAGAGGGTGAGTCAACTGCCACTGTCGTACTACACTTAAGCCTGGGCAAGCTGGCTACAGAATCCCAGCACTCAACTACTGCAGGGCCCATGTGCTTGCCACCAGGGCCTCTTCACTCACCCATCTGCCCTCCTGCTCCCCACAGGTCAGCACACATACTAACCCTCAATCTTCCTTGTCTTGGTTAATGACCACATCATTCTTGAGCCATCCTGGCTTCCACCCTTTGCCTCACTTTCCACATCTCATCGGTCAGAAGGTCATGTCAGCAATCACTCCCCATCTCCTTATTTCTCTCCCTCCTCACTACCACCACCCTTGTTCAAGTATCCATATGATCTTGCTTCGATGGCTTCCTAAGTGGTTTCCCAACTTCCACCCTAGTCTATAGCCAGAGAAACATTTTTAAGACATGAAACAGATCATGTTCTTCCTGCTTAATACCCTTCAATGACTTTGCATTGTCCTTTGAATAAAATCCAACTCCTCAGACCCTCCATGACTTGGCTGCTGTCGAACTCTCCAACTATTCCCATGTTGTAATTCCCTCTGTTCACTTATGTTCCAGCAGGCTTCCTTCTTGTTCCTCAAAACACCAACCCTACTTCCACTTGTTGACCTTTCTGCCTACATTCCTCTCCCTAAAGCTTAAAATGCCTGACTCCTTCTCACCCTTCAGATCGCAACACTTCTCACAGAGGACTTCTTTATCCCCCTAAATAAAGTGGCTCCCCCCAATTATTCTCTCTCATCTTTCTTATTTCCCATTTAACAATTAACATAATCTGTAATTTCTTTTGCATTACTTTAGTTTCTTTCTGCCTATCTCCCCTATCTTGCTCACTGGTATACATGTGGTGTTTACTAGGTTGTCAAGAAACATTTCTTGTGCTAATTAATGTCTGCAGAGTTGACATTCACTACTGCCCCCGGTATTAATGTTATGAGTGCCACCTCTCCCTTCTGAATGACTGGGCATTCCACTGTAATGTCACCTTTATTCTTCTCATCCTTAATTTACACCAAAGTATTTTCCAGCTGAATTCATGCTTAACAAGGGGTCCTAGAAACTAGCCCATCCTGTCCTCTGTCTTCCTGGACTAGGATTTTTTTTTATTACTTTTATTTTATTTATATATTTTTATGTGGTGCTGGGGATCGAACCCAGTGCCTCACACATGCTAGGCAAGCGCTCTCGAACCCAGTGCCTCCACACATGCTAGGCAAGCACTCTACCACTGAGCTACAGACCCAGCCCCCTGGACTAGGATTTTTTTCAGAGGCCAAATAACAATTCATACCAATATTACTCCAGGTGAAACTCCTCACATGGTACCTCAGCCAAAGTACCCTCTGGGATCTAAAACAGCCAATTCTACCATCTTCCTCCTTATTTCTCCTTGGTCATCACCCCAAACTGAGGCCTCTTCTAGATTGTCTATCACTCTCATCTCTCCCAACATTTCCTATAACAACCTCCCAATATTGCACCTGTGGAGAACAAAATGACATGTGCTCTTTGATGTGTGAATCTATTAAAAAAAAAAAAAAACCTTCAAAACTACGTGCACATGATCATGTGTTATTGCTGATTAGTTCTAAACACAGAAGAGAGATTTCTTTGGTCACTGTGGTCTCTTCTTCCCCACATAGGGCAAACCAATGAAATATCAAATTATTAGTCAAGGTATTGAAAATATATTATTTTACTCCTATTTTAAAACCATAAAATCTCTTAGTGAAAGTTTATTTTCTCTGGATTGGGAGAAAGAAAAGGAGGACATGATATACAAAAGTTAACAAATATTTCAAAGTATATCTAATACACTTAATTTTCTCCAACAGCATTAAAATATCCTTTCTTACCTAGTTTTTTACTTTACACAGCCAGACCTACACACGGAAAGTTTATATCCAAAAGCAGATGGACTCTATTTCTCTGCCTATGAAAATCTTATTTACAGTGTTATATATTTCACACGGTGACCTCATATCTGGAACCCATTCCTCTCCCCATCTGCAAAGAACAACTGTTCTCACATGTGGGGGGAGGCTCTGGCTGCAGAGTCTCATGATGTCACAGGCCAGGAGGAATCATTTACTAACTCCTGGGAATGAGAGTTGTTATATTGATCAGATTTTTGTTTTAAGATCAGCGAAAAGTCACTTCAAAAGCAAAAGTTAAGACAGCAAAAAGAAATACCATGGAAGAATACTGCTCTTACCCTGTCTCTCTATACGTATAATTCTGCAACCAAAATTCTAAGCTATTTATCTCTCAAATTATAACAACTGAGTTTCCTTCTCACTTTTCTTCAAAAGATAATATCTTGACCTTTAGGCAGATAGTAAATATATATTCAACCTAATTTTTTACTAAGCATCAGCCAAGTGCCAAGCACTGGGCTAACCTTTGGAGTAAGATATGACCCTGCCACCACTTGACCGCAGGTCATTATGGAAAGGTGATAAAAAAGGAGAGGCGGTAATAGTATCTATTATTTAGATGTATCTTCAGCTGCAAACACAAATAGAGCAGCTGGGCTTTCAAAATGAGAGAAAATAGAATATGGTCAGTATTTTTAAGTGAACCATGTAACATGTGGCCATATTTCTGTACTAATCCAAGAATTATAAAACAATCTTAATTCAAAGAATAGCTAACCCTCCCTTCTTCTCTAGCCTTGTTACCTGACACCTGCCTTATATTTCACCCCCAAGGAGACCTAAGCTGCCTTACTACACGTTGTTCCTCAAGTTCATGTTTTCATTAATGCAACTGCATCTCCACATCTCTGTCCCACACCTGCATCACTCATCCAATAGGCCCAAACTATCATCCTCAATACCTACCAAAGACATCACCTCCTAGAACAGACCTCTCCAGAACCCCAGTCCTATTCCCCCCAGTATCTTTCCCATACACCATGGTCACCCTTCTATCTCAGCACCTGCCATTTTATCCTCCAACCGTCAATTCACATGACTGCTTCCCTGTACTGGGCTGCAAGCTCCAAGAACAAAAAAACAGTCTCATCCACAGTCATTTCAAAAGTAACCAAGCAATATGCTCCTAACCTTAACTGTTCCAGGTTCACAGGGAATGATTAATAATGTCTACTCCACCAAAACACTGGGCTAGCTTGTGAACACATTTTGTATAAACTCAAAAGCAATCAACAAATATTGTCTTATTATTTTTCACTGTTTTTTTCCCAATCTTATCCATTTTTCTCAGACATTCAGCATCTTTGTGCTTCAGGCAAACCAACCTATTCAATGTTTGACATATCCAAACCCTACTTCCCAGTCTGCTTTAGTGTCTCACACTGGTACCTCCACTTGGAAAGCTCTCTTACTTACTCAAAACTTCTCTTCACTTACTCAAACTGCACAGGGCCCAGCTGCCCATGGCCTGCCCATATCCCTTCCAATAAAGCATCCCTAGGCAACAACACTGGAAGTAAGGGCTCCCTCCTCTCAAATCTCAGGGCATTTTGCCTATCATTGTCTTGTGGTGCTTATCACTTCTAAATGCACTTCAGGTCTAAGAAGCAGTAAGCCCTGCACCAATTATATGCTCATCTCAAAGCATGCAGCACAAACAGGAAATAGCTGAATGAACAACAGATTGCTTTGGTTCCACATATTTAGGGAATAGCCTGCCAGTAGTTTTAAGCACCTGGATAAGTGCTCCTCTCTTCAAGCCTTCTGAAACCGCCTCCTTGGACATGTAGGTCTCAAATATGCTCCTTTTCTTCCCTCGCGTGGACTTGTTCTTTGACTTTTTGTCACCTGGCGAAGCACCAAAACCATGGGGACCAACCACAGAGGACACACCTAGAAACATGAGGCAGCAATCAGCTCTCTCCTCAAACATTTCTGTATTTTTAAAACTGGAGATATTATGCTTATTATTATCATCATTCTTATTATTTACAAAGAACAACAAGAGAATGAAATTCTTTGATGATGAATTCAGTCACAAAGAGGAGAAAATGGGTAAGGAAACATGAAAAAATCATATACAGATGAGACCGGAACTTTAAATAAGCACAACATGCATGGAACAAAATATGAATAATTGGTTAAGTATGCCTTGCTGTTTATAGATACAAACTTTTAAAAATAGGAATTATTAAAAGATGATCACTTTTCTGGAGGAAATTAAACAGCTGTGCACAACATAATAATGAATTAAGACAACAAGAAACCACACCTAATTCTAGAATAAATAACATGGGAGAACAGTTAATAGTTCACCAAAAGAATTAGTCCCCTCATCCTAAGAGCTGCCCTCCACCTCCACACCCGCTCCACTCGTATTTCAGGTTTCCTGTTGCCAGGGCAGACTCCATTTCCTTGTGCTACCTCTGGGGGTCCCCAGGGGTCGGAGGTTCAGTCTGTAGTCAGGATGGCTCATTACTGGTTCCAGGGGCTCCTCTTCTCTCCAGATTCAGGGGAGCCACTACTGCTCAGCTTAAAGTTCTTCCTGTCTGAAGCAGCTCAGTTGTCACCAGCTGAAATCAAAGAGATCAATGAGTGGACACCAGTCAACCTGCAGCCTCCTTTGCCCACCCAGAAATTTAGTACTCTGGTATACTTGGATGGCAAAGGCAATATGGTGTCCTCTTGGGTCTTGGTGGCACATTTTCCTGAGCAGTCCATCAAGCACACCATCTGTGCTGAGTACACAAGTCTGCTCCTTTGGAACACTTCAATTAAAAATTTCCACAAATGGCTCAGTGGTAGAGCACTTGCTTAGCACGTGTGAAGCACTGGGTTCGATCCTCAGCACCACATAAAAATAAATAAACAAAATAAAGGTATTGTGTCTAACTACAACTAAAAAAAACAATATTAGAAAAAAAACTCCACAAATGGGGCAAATGAGGTAGAAAATGAGGAACTCTGCAGTACTAGTCAGGTTATGAAATGCACAAAAATAGGAGAAAATGTAGTTTGAAAGATGATAAAAAGATTCAGAATCTAAAAACTGTAATGGGATAGGTAATAAAAAGGCTCAAGATGTGGCATTTACTAAGTTTAATCTAGTTGAAATATATCTCTTCCAATAAAGAATCCCTAAGCAAAGCTAACTGGACATAAGGGATCCCTGCTCTCCAATCTCAGAGCACTTTACCCATCACTGTCTTATGGTGCTTATCATCTCTAAATACACTTATTTTATTTATTAAATAAGTTAATTCCTTAGAATTCATCCACAAAACCTAATTCATTGCCACAATTTGATACCCAAAATTATGAAGGGAACCCTAGATGGTTCACAAGCTCTCAAAAATGGCAATAATTATAATTAGAAGTCTATTCCCCTATTCATATCTGTCATCACCTCAAACCAGGTGTCTAATCAGAAGCTCAAGCAGCCACATCTAAGGGATATAAGAACAGCTACCTGGGTCAGCAGGCTGGAAGGTGCAGCCTTACGGCTGGTCCCTGGCCTTCCACTAAGATAATGAACACTCCACCACTTCTACTTTCTAGTCTCTGCTAGAAAAGAGATCAAGTCTATATTTGCAAACTTCCAAAATCCTGGAAGCAGCATATTTTCCCATGAAATAGATCAAGATGTTACTCTGAAGACTAGCTACCACTTCCTTCAAATTGTCCCTACACACATCCTTCACCAAAATGATATAATTTTTCATTCAGTTAAACTTAATACTAACTCTAAAGAAGAAACAACAAAGATTAACAGACACTTAGTGATAATGAAATGATTGAGAAATAAAGTTACCCAACTTTAAGGACAATGTGAAAGAGATGGCCTTCCAGGCACAGCAAGGGGTCAGACTAAGTGTTAATCCAGAAGGCCTCACTCCCTTGTTAACTCAACAAATTCTTTTGCAAAGCACTGTGCTAGGCAGAATGAGGGGTAAAAGGTCATTAGTTTGGTGGTTGGGACTTTCTTCCCATTATTTTCTGTCCTTTTTTCTTATTTTTATTGGTGCTTTATAATTTTATATAGACAGATAGATAGATAGAGAGTGTGTGAGTGTGTGTGAGATTGTTATATATTTGTATATGCACATGATATAATAATATAATTTGGTCAATTTTATTCCATAGCATTTCCCCTTTCTTGTCCCTCTTCCCTTCCCCTGGCTCCTTTCTCTAAATTACTAGCCTCCCTTCCATGTTCATGAAATCCACCTCACCTTTTTTTTTTTTCTCTTTCTTTCCTCAAGATTTCACATATAAGAAAAAAACAGATAACCCCTAACTTTCTGAGTTTGGCTTATTTCATTTAACATAATGTTCTCAAATTCCATCTATTTTCCTAAAAATGACATAATTTCCATTCTTCTTTATGACTGAATAAAACTCCATTGTGTATATATATCACCTTTTTAGAGGACATTAGACTTTTAAAATCATACTGAAATAATAATACAGTACCATATTTTTTAGTATGAACAAATGTACATATGATGGGAGGGAATGGATGTCTCCAGGTCAGGGAATATAAAAAAAATTGTGGCTCAGCGGTAGAGCGCTCACCTAGCATGGGCGGGTCCTGGGTTCGATCCTCAGCACCACATAAAAATAAAGGCATTGTGTTGTGTCCATCTACACCTAATAAATAAATAAATATATTATTTTTAAAAAAGAATATTTATTTTTTAATTTTAGGTGGATACAATATCTTTATTTTATATTTACATGGTGCTGAGGATCGAACCCAGTGCTACAAGACCTTTAAAGGAGAACTAATACCAATACTCTTCAATTTATTTCAGGAAATAGAAAAAGAGGCAGTAATTCCAAACTCATTCTATGAGGCCAATATCACCCTGATCCCAAAATCAGGCAAAGATACATCAAAGAAAGAAAACTTCAGACCAATATCTCTAATGAACATAGATGCAAAAATTCTCAATAAAATTTTGGCAAATCGAATACAAAAACATATCAAAAAGATTGTGCACCATGATCAAGTGGGATTCATCCTAGGGATGCAAGATTGGTTCAACATACGGAAATTAATAAATGTAATTCATCACATCAATAGACTTCAAGATCAGAACCACATGATCGTCTCAATAGATGCAGAAAAACATTTGACAAAATACACCACCCCTTTATGTTCAAAACACTAGAAAAACTAGGGATAACAGGAACATATCTCAACATCGTAAAGGCTGTCTACACTAAGCCTCAGGCCAACATCATTCTAAACGGAGAAAAATTAAAGGCATTCCCTCTAAAACCTGGAACAAACAAGACAGGGTTGTCCTCTTTCACCACTTCTATTCAACATAGTTCTTGAAACACTGGCCAGAGCAATTAGACAGATGAAAGAAATCAAAAGGATATGTATAGGAAAAGAAGAACTTAAATTAGCACTATTTGCTGATGATATGATTCTATACCTAGAAGACTCAAAAAGCTCCATCAGAAAACTTCTATAACTAGTAAATGAATTCAACAAAGTAGCAGGATATAAAATCAACACCCATAAATCAAAGGCATTTCTTTATATCAGTGACAAAGCCTCTGAGAAGGAAATGAGGAAAACTACCCCATTCACAATAACCTATTTTGTATTTTATTTAGAGACAGGTCTCATTGAGTTGCTTAGCATCTCACTTTTGCTGAGCCTGGCTTTGAATTCTCAATCCTCCTGACTCAAGCCACCCAAGCCACTGGGATTACAGGCATGCAACACCGCACCTGGCTCTTTTGAGCTTTTTAAAGAATAGTTACTTTAACCGAAAAACTGCCATTTTTATTCTCATAGGACATTTTCTCAGGTTTTAGAATTCTATACTGTGGATTATTTTCTCTCAGTGCTTTGAAGTTGTCATTCCATTGTCTTATAGCCTTCACTGTTTCTAATGAGATGTCAGTCATTAGTCTAATTGTTAATTCTCTCAAAGTACACTGTTTCCTCTCCCCTGGCAGCATTATACATTTTTCTCTTTATCTTTGGTTTTCTGAAGACTTACCACAGTATACAAGTATGAGTTGCTTTTTCTCCCATATGGTGGTACTAGGCTCCTTGAATGTGTTGCTTGATAATTTTCATCAGTTTAGGAAACTTTTCAGTCATTCTCTTTTCAAATATTATTTCTACCCATTATCCCTCATCCCTGTCGGGACTCGATTACACACTTTTGATCTCCTCAATATATTTGTGTCCCTCAATCTCCTCAGTCTTCTCCATCTTTTTTCTCTGAATCTTATCAATTCCCTAATTTTCCTTTCAGCTCTATCTCATCTTCTGTTAAACCATCCATTAACTTCCTATTTCAGTTCATTTCTTTTTTTTTTCAAGTTCTCTTCTGAAAATGCTGAACCTTGTCTTTTATCTCTTTGAACAAGTACAGCTATATTTAAGTCTGAAAACTCCATTTTCAACAGCCCCTATAGATCTCCTATCTTCTGTTGCTTCTACTTGATCATGTTTTGCCTGAATTTTTTAAAATTATGAGATGAATATACTTGCATGATTTCTGAAGTAACAATTTGAGGCCTCATGTAATGTTGTTATCTTCTAGATAGGATTTGCATTTGCTTCTGCAAAGCACCTGAGACAAAGACAATAAATTATAAACATATTTAAAATGGAGCTACAGTCACTGTAATGTTCTAATCTATCAGATTCAGCCCTGCTTCAAGGTGTGGCCCTTCAGTGTCCTAATTCCAAATCAGAGTCACCAGAACCACACATATCCCACATACGCAGAGCCTGAGTTCTACTCCCTTCCCTTCTAACCCAAGAGGTTATCAAATGCACTGCTCAGTTTTTCAAATGATCTTCCAAAAATCAGCAAATATCCACTAGAGAGAAACAGCTCCAAATACTAGTCTTATTTCCCTAAGCTTTTATTTTCTCCTAGATATTTATCCTCTTATTGCTTCTCAAATACCTTCAAGTAGTTTAGTAGGTGAGAGGGAACTTGCTTTTCTATTTATTGTCTGAAAGAAGATTTATTGCCACTATTTTCTATCCCCTAACCTTGGGGAGAAGTAGCAACCTCACTCTTAACTTTCATTCTCAAATGTATTAACCCAACTTCTTCCAAATAGACTCACTTTTATCCCTGACAAAACTTTTCCATAACTTTCCTCTCTTTTCTTCCTGTATCATATTTACAACCTAAAATCCTCAATTCTGTGTAAACCTATCTACTCTAAAACTTTACTAACACACCTATTGTTCTCTCCATAGTTGCCCTTCCAGCAATGTACAACCACCGGGTGTGGTGACGCACGCCTATAATCCCAGTGGCTTGGGAGGCTGAGGCAGGAGGATCAAGAGTTCAAAGCCAGCCTCAGCAAAAGCGAGGCACTAAGCAACTCAGACCCATCTCTAAATAAAGTACAAAATAAGGCTGGGGATGTGGCTCAACAGCTAAGTGACCTTGAATTCAAACCCTAGAACACCCCCCACAAAAAAAAAAAAAACACACTAAGAGCCTGGCTTTGCTCCCCTTCTGCCCACTTTAAGCCACCAGCTACCACTCCATTGCTCTCATTCCCCTCCCTGAGAAAGTTTTAAAATGTGGTCTAGACTCACCACCTCTATTTCCTGTATTACATCCTCTTTACTCTCCTTTGGAATATAACTTTTGCATTCATCTCTACAACAAAATTACATTTTTGGTATTGCTAGTGAAGAAGAGCCTCATTACTAAAAACTGGCATGCTCAGACTACAAACTTCTCCCTTTTGTTCTCCAGTATACCTCAGTCTTCTGGCTCTTCTAACTTTCTCTTAAATTCTCAGATTTCCTGCTGATTCCTCTTCTTTCACGGGTTTACCTCTTAGGTTTCTACCATTTGCAAGGTCTATTCTTAAGACTCATTTCACTTCTCTGCTAAATAGTTAAATCTTCACCTCTAGCCCTGTTCTCCAAAGGTTCTCTTTAACTTTCTAACTTCCTGCTGAGTAATACTGGCCAGCAATTTGAATGAAACATGTTTCTAATTCAATTTATGATTCTCCTCAAACTATACTGTCCACCTATGTACTGTATCCAGATTAATGACATCATTATCATCCTTAGATAGCAAACAGTAGTCATCTTAACCTCTTTCCTCCATTAATAATCTATGGCCAAATTCTGACTATTCTCTTATCAGAATATTCCTAAACAGATTCCTTTCTTTACAACTTGATTAGCACTGTCAGAATTCAGCTTGTTGCAACAGTACAGCATAGAGATAACAAAAGTTTTTTAACAGGTCTCTCAGCCATTAATCTCATCTTCAACCCATGTTTCACCTAAAACATAGACGATATTTAAGAATTGCCTTTCAAAAAACGCTTCAAATTACTGCAACTATGTAATCTAACGTACATTTTTATTCTCATCTTTCATTAAAACTTTTTTCAATATTGTACTAGGTAAATTCCTGATGAAAACCTTAGGCTGGGAGAGCCCATGCTTGGCTTCAAAGCCTTAAAAATTGAGTTATAAATATAAACTTTGGCAAAAACAACAGAAACAACTACCTGTAGGTTCTGAAGAGTAAACAAATGAAAGACGGACTTTTGGGAGACGAAAACTGGAGAAGTGACTGATACTAGGATGAGTGAGTTTCTAGCGTTTGTGTTTTTGTTTTAGGAAGGGAGAGGAGTACATGTTTTGCCCCAGTACTGACTCCCATCATACAAGTGATACAGGGCAGGCAGCTAAAACATCCATAGAAATTCCAAGGTTGCCTGGCCAGAAGAAGGGGAAACAGCCTGATCAACCACAGATGGCTGCCAGTGGCAATCAAGAACAGGAGAATGCTGAAGAAAAGAATGCTCTAATTTCTATGAACATTGTACAAATCTCAGACTGACCCTTAACTCTTTTGGTGTATAAGACAGACTCAGTGCAGCATCATAATGGTTTAAAATTGTAACTGAGAGTTCAGCCTTCTTTTATAGAGGATTAAACTTACAGTCTGGACTTAAAAGAGGGTCTCAAACCAATGGCTAGTAAAATAAAAAACATCAGGGACCGGAGTTGTGGCTCAGTGGTAGAGCACTTCCTAGCATGCATGAGGCACTGGGTTCGATCCCTGGCACCGAATTGAAAAAACAAAACGAAACAAAGAAAAACTAACAAAATAAAGGTTTTGTATCCAAAAAAAAAAAAAAAGAATCAAGATTCCTCAAAAGAATCTAATAGAATTCGAAGTCTACACAGGAGACTGACTTGAGTCCAGAAGTTTGAAGTCAGCTTAAGCAACACAGCAAAGCCCTCCAAAAAGTAAAATAATAATAAAATAAAATAAGACAGATACAATCCAAAAATCATTTGACATACAAAAAAGAACCCTGAAAATGTAACCCATTATAAAGGGAAAAATCAACACATCCCAACCTTCCCAATCTCAAAATGACTCCCATTAGAATTATCAGAGAAACACTTTAAATCAGCTATGGTAACTATGCTCCCTGAGGTGAAAGACAAGAAACTTGAAATGACTGAAAAGAAATCTCAAAGAAATAAAAATTTACTTTAAAATGAGAATTTTGAAGCTAATAAATTTCAGATAATTTAATTTATCTGAAATTAAAGAGGCAGTGGGTAAGCTGGGGTTATAGCTCAGTGGTAAAGCATTTGCCTAACATGTGAGGCACTGGGTTCAATTCTCAGTATCACATATAAATAAATAAAAAATAAAGATCCATTGACAGTTATAAAACAGAGTGAGAGAGAAATCTTTATAGCTAAGTAGAAATAAAAGAATAAAATGTCAGTGAGCCTGAACGTTACCAACGGAAACTATTCAACCTGAAAAACAGAGAAAAAGGATTGAACAAAAAGATGGACTGAGCATTATGGACCTGTAGGACAATATGAAAAGGTCAAACACAAAGATAACTGGAGTTCCAAACATAAGAAGTATATACATCGCCCAAAATTAATAATAACTGAAAACATCCCAGATTTGGTTAAATTCATAGACATACAGATTCAAGAAGCTGAGTGAAACCAAAAAAGGAAAACTTCAAAGAAAACTATCTAGAAACTTCATAATCAAACTACTGAAAACCAAACATACAACGAAAATCTAAAGCAGCCAAAGGAAAATGACATCCTCCATAAAGAGAAAACTGGATTCTATATCCAACAAAAATATCCTTTAGGAACAATGGCAAACCGGAAACATCTTCAAATAAAAAAGAAAATCTACCAGAAATGACTATAAGAAACACCAAAAGGAGCTCTTTAAACTAAATGGAAACACAACAGGAGCAAAAAGTGGGTCTTCAGGAATGAATATTAAGCATTTGGTATTATGTAATGCATATAAATTATACCTCAATAAAATAGCTAAAGATTTCAAGGAAAATTTTCTGTCAACCACAGATGGCTGCCAGTGGCAATCGAGAACAGGAGAATGCTGAAGAAAAGAATGTTCTAATATCTATGAACAGTAAAATTGACAATCACATAGAGAGGTGGAATAAAGACATTTTCAGAAGTGCAGACCTCAAAAAAATTTCATGTGTTCTTTCGTAGATAGCTACTAATGTATACACTTTGCCAAGATAATACAGTGAACTAAGAAAGAGGATGATGTGGATATAATAAGGAACACCAAGACAAAGAAGTGTAAGGAATTTTTCCAAGATAACAGAGAAAGGAAACCCCAGGATAGCAAATGTGCATCAAGCAAAGAGGGCAACCTCTAGATGGAGGACAGCAGTTTAGATTGCAAATTATCAAGAGTGAATGTCATCAACAGGATCCCCTGCACAGAACTGCCATAGAAACAGACACACAGACAAATGGAACAGAATGAAGAGCCCCAAAATAAATATATTTATGATAAACTGATCCTCAAGAAAGATGCCAAGAGCACACAATAGGAAGAGCACAGGCTCTTCAATAAATGCTGCTGGACTATGAACTGAAATTCTGCTGTCATATATAACAAATTAGAATAAATAAATAAATTTTAAAAAATAAAAATAAAAAATAAATGCTGCTGGGAAAACTGGATATGCACATGCAAAAGTATGAAATTAAGACCATATACAAAAATCACCTCGAAATAAATTTAAGATTTAAATATATGACTTGAAAGTGCAAAACTATTAGAAGAAAAAAAAAATAAAAGGATAAAGCTCTATGACACTTATCTAGTCAAAGATTTCTTTGGACTATGAACCCAGAAGCATAAGCAACAAAAGCAAAAAAAGGACAAATGAGACTGCAATCAAACTAACCATCTTCTGCACAACAAAAGAAACAATCAACATAGTGAACAGACAACTTATGGAATGGGAGAATATATTTGCAAATCATACACCTGGTAAGGCATTAATATCCAAAACACACAAAAAACTTAACTCATGAGCAAAAAAAAACTACCATATTTTTAAGTATGTATATATTGGGTAAAGGATCTGAACAGATAGCACCTAATCTCACTTATATGTGAAATCTAAAAAAGATGAACTCAGAAGTAGAAAATAGAATGGTGGTTTCTAGGAACTAGGAGGTTAGGAGGGC